TGAGCCACTTGCCTCCACAAACTCAGCCTCCTCCGAGGTGCTGCTTTCTGGGGGAGACCTGGGTCTAGGGGAAATGTGAGGGGTGTGTAGCACTAACTCTGATTCCCCCTCAGTCCCCAGAATTGCCTGAGCCAGTGCGCTCAGCATCCCTGGTTTCAGATCCAGCTCCTCCTCTGGCAGTGGGAGGCTCATGCTGAGAGCTGAAATTGGGGTGGAAGAGGTAGTGATTCTACTGCTGGTGCCCACTTCTGGACTGAGTGGAGGTGGTGCAGGTGCAGGGACGATAGGTGCAGACACTTCTCCCACCACCTCGCTACTGTTGCTGCTCTGCGTGCAGCCGCTACCACCCCCCCCACCGCTTCACGTATGGCTCCCACCACCCCTCCCTTCCAATTCTGCATCCAGCCAGAAACTCTGTGCCTCAGATAACCAGTATTTTTCAATTACTGGCACCCCCCCCGTGGTTGGGGTGGGAAGACCCCAGTGCAGTCCCCCAGTATCAGAGGGGGGAATAACCTCAGCCAGGGGCCCTGTAGGCCAGTATCCGGCCCCACCTAGCTGCGCTAGCAGCTGTTCACCCCATCAGACCCTCTGCCCCCTCACAGCTGCAGTGGCCGGGTGGGAGTGTGGCCAGACACCAGCCAGCAGTGCCCCTTCGGTGGAGGGGGCAGGGATGGAGGTTTTGCCCTGCCCTCTGGTGTCTGGCAAAGGGGGCTTATTCCAGTGCTTGCCCCAAGCAAGGAACAAGCAGCAGTGGTGGCGGCAGTCAGAGTGGGCAGACCCGTTTGTGGTCCCCCAGGGGTACAGGGGAGAAACCCCCCATCTCTGCCTCAGGGGCATGCTGGCCCAATGCTGCAACAGCAAAGAGGGAACACCTGGCAGATGAGGCTCCAGTCCCTGCCAGTGGGATATGGAGGGGAGAATTAAACCCCTCTCTGGCTAGACCTCTGCTCATCTGGGGAGCAAAGGAGTGGGGCCAGCCCTGTGGTGCTACAGCAGAAAGCCCAGCTCGGAGAGTATACCAGGATGCTGGGGGACTTTGGTTTAGTTCCACCAGGAAGAAGGCTGGGACAAACATTGCATAAACCACTTTGAGCCAAATCAGTTAAGTCTGATACTACATTCAACCAGGTTTATCTCAAACCAGTTTTAGTGATTTTGAAAGTGGTTTATGTGCACTGAATGTCTGTTTTAAACCAGTGTCTGATCAGTTTCTGATCACTTAAACCAGTTTATGTGTAATGTCTATCCCTAGCCTAAGAGAGCAAGTCATGTTTGGAGCCCCAGGCTGGCAGGAGAGGCCCAGGGACCAAGCAGGAAGCAAATGAGGAAGGGAGACCCATCCCCCACTGCTGCTGTCCACAGCTGACCAGGAGTGAGGCAAGCCCCAGGTCATTCATACCTTACTCTAGCCCTAGAGACTCATGCCCTGCTCCAGCAGAGGGCTGCCAGAAGTGGCTGCATGGAGTACCAGGCTTGGTGATGGTGGCAGGCAGGTTCCTACTCATGCCCACTTCCCCAGATTTCCCATGCCATCCCAAGGACTCCAGCTACTTGGCATGGCTACATGGCTGAGTTTGGTGGGGACAGTGGTAGAGGTGAGCAATCCTCTCTTCCAGCACCTGTTCTGACAGTAGAGGATACCCAGGGGACTGGGCAGAGAGCCTGAGGGCCTGGAAGTAGAACTCACACACTACTGATGTCCCCAGATAAGCCTAAAACCCCATTCAGTTGCTCACTGAAGCCCCCAGCTTGAGTAGGGCATGAGTGGTCTGGGGTTTCCTACTTCCCTGGGTCACCCAGGTCCCTGGGTCAGCCAGGGATACTAGTGTCAGCCAGTGTGCCCCTGTAACAGAGAACCAGGAGCTTCTGTTACTTGAAAGAGAAGCCACAGCAGGGATGTCTCCAGGTCGGGGGAGGGAAGGCAGCCAATTCTGAGCTAGCTGCATGGGAGTAGGCAGCCAGGGGCCCATAGGCTGCAAGCATTTATTGCAGGACCAGTGGCCTAGCAATAGGACAATAGGGCATCACCCTAGTGAGGTAACAAGTGCAATGCCATGGTAGCTAGAGCAAAAGCAGTAAGCTGCCCTGAAGGCTGAAAGAGCACACCTGCAACAAGTCAGGGGATCACCTGACTGGAAGGGGAAAAGCCATGGGTATAAGCCTGAGGCATGGAGGCAGTGTGGCCCTGAACCTAGCAGAAAGAGGAGCTCCTATCAGCTCAGGCTGGTGAGAGCTGCAAGCCATGGCAGGTACTCCCAAGGCCAAGAGTGCCAGGAAGCAGGGAGGTGTCTTGGCAGTAGTATGATGGTGCAGAAGGGAGACTGAGTTTAACATGGTAGCTTGCATTTTTGTTTTAGTTTTAACTGGAGGATCAGCTGTAGCTGCTGGAGTAGAAAGGAGGCCACTAGGGTGGCTGAAGACCAGTCCAAATTTTGAGCCTTGCCAGTGGCAGAGGCTTGGGACTGAGGAGGCCTGAGGCCAAGAAGGGGTGATATAGGTGGCCTGAGGCCAACTGGGCTGGAGCCTAAGCCCAGAAAGGGTGACACAGGCAGCCAGGGGATGTTGAGAGGCTGAGGGTGAAAGGCCAGGCCAAAGCCAGTGGGCCTAGGCTAACAGTCCACAACCAGAGTAACCTGTAAGTTAAGGCTAAGAAGGCCGAAACTTATACAAGGGAGTAACTGGTGAAAGAATGACATCTGTGAAGCATAGATGTGGCTGTAGAGGGTGCAGGATGTCATGAATTCAGCCCATAAGGCAATTAGGGCTAGAAGAGCCACAGGCCAAGAGAGAAAGAGACTTTGTGTGTCCCAAGCCAAGTGAACCAAATCA